CTTTGCAAATTCTGTTGCTTCGACACGCTTTATGTTGCAAGATGAGTTCAATCTGCAGACAACAAAATGCGATAATTGCATAATAGTAATTGCAACTCTTCTCCATCTCTCCTCCCACTTCTCTATGCTTGGGACATGCCCATCAGTTTATCCGAGGATTTAAGTTATTTGCTCTAATAATGTAAATATTTTTTAAATAACATATTAGTTAGTTTCACCTATTATAGGATGTAAGCTATCATTTTTATCTAGTTCCCTACTAATACTACTTTTCATACAGATATCGAGAATTACCTCATAAATGACCTGACTCTAAAAATAATTTTTTCACTATCCATAAAACTCTTTATCTAACTTACATTGCCTCTTGTTGTAGGGATTCATGTTTTGCCTACAGCAGTTAGCATGTATATGTAGCATTATTGCTTGTCTCACAGGAAGTGAAGAAATTCAAGATGCTGCTCAGCTTCTGAACTGTCTGTCAGACGTTGTTTACTGCACGTAAGATGCTTGTTTTTATGTATCAAAAACATTTTTTGTGCCAAAGTTCTATTTTCATCTTCATTTACTTTTCTCTTCTATCGGCAGGGTTTGCAGCTGTATGCAGGTATGCTTTAACTTGAACACATTCTTCATCTGGAAAATCATTTAGTACGAACATAGTTCCATTGAAATAGTCAAATTATCTTACCTTCTTAAAAACAGAGTTCCACTGATATAGTCAATTAGCATCCAAGCCAAAATAAGAGGTTATTTTTTGTCTACTTTCTTAACGGCAGGGACATATTTGGACGGATAGTCTAGGGATAAACGTGGATAATTTATTAAAGTAGAGGGACAAATCTGACCTTTTTCCCTTAAACAATGAAATTTCCCTGTATTTGCGAGAAAACATTGGAGGTAACTCCATTCTTGCTGCAAATTATTATGAACAACCTCTATTCAGACTCCACCTAAAGGATTCATAATCTATTATCTATATCCATTCAGCTCACTCACTCAAACGTGATTCATCATATAATTATACTAAAACCTCTATCAAACTTAGGACCAGCTATGCTTTACAAAACTCACATAGGTAGAGTTTATCATACAACTAATCAAAATTTTCTTTTTTCAGTAAATATCTGATCTTGACTATTGATGGAATTAATTATGCTTGTATAACTTTAGTCATAACATTAGTTACTTGTCTGTGAAGTATTCTAAGTTGAGATCATTTTCCTTTCTTTTTTGGCACTAGTATATGTTGGTTTGCACTCACTTTAATCTTGGCCATCATAATTCTATTCAGACACAGCACAAGGTTGAAATGGACAAAAGAGATGGAAAATTTGGACCACGGCCAATGGCAGTGCCACCTGCTCAACAAATGTCTCGGTTAGATCAGCCTGTTCCCCCTTCAGTGGGATATCCACCTGCTTATCCACCAACACAGCAACCCCATGGTTATCCGCCACCACAACAGCAGCCTCAGGGTTACCCGCCACCACAGCAGCAGCCTCAGGGTTACCCGCCACCACAGCAGCAGCCTCAGGGTTACCCGCCACCACAGCAGCAGCCTCAGGGTTACCCGCCACCACAGCAGCAGCCTCAGGGTTACCCGCCACCACAGCAGCAGCCTCAGGGTTACCCGCCACCACAGCAGCAGCCTCAGGGTTACCCGCCACCACAGCAGCAGCCTCAGGGTTACCCGCCACCACAGCAGCAGCCTCAGGGTTACCCGCCACCACAGCAGCAGCCTCAGGGTTACCCGCCACCACAGCAGCAGCCTCAGGGTTACCCACCAGCCAATTATCCTCCACCTGGTGCTGGATATCCCACGTCTGATTATCTTCAGTGAATTGGAACCTTTTTTTCCCTTTTCCTGTCAGTAAAGTCCATATATATGCTTGAATTTTTTTTATTTTTTTTTGTAGACCATTATTCGTTGCTTACCTTGTAAATCATGTGAGGTCAGAGAATATGTGTTGCGTTATACTGCCTAAGGCGTTCTGAGTCATTTTATCGTGGTCCTGTAGATACTCGTATACTGGTAGGTTGTAGAATAATGAACATTGCATGTAATGTCTATACGGAAGTAAAAGTGTCATTTTAAAGAGTGTCCGGTTAGTGTGTTGAAGAAAGATACACTATGCTGCAAGGCTGAGTTGCTCTGATATGGATATTGGTCCACACTTCCCTAAATATAATTAGTTACTTAGTTGCGATTATTATTAGTGTAAAGCAGGAGAAAAAAGGTTTGCCATTTTCTAGAGTTACAGTGTAAAGAGTTCAAACTCCACGATCTTCAAGTTGATGACGCCCGTGTCAAATCTAATAAACATTTTCGTACGCAATGGTAGAGAGATTTATTTACCCATTTGGACATATATTTGTAGTTGAAACAGGAAACAAATAACCTCGAGGCCTTTGAGCCTCCACTAGTGGGTCAATGAATATAGGATAAGGCTGTGTATTATAGACCCTTGTGGTTTGGCCTTTTTCCGAACCCCGCACATAGCGGGAGCTTAGTGCATCAGGCTGCCCTTTTTAATCTTGAATTTTTTTTAGCAGAGTGGTGGTTCAAAGAACCCAGATAAGAGACACTGCTCAAGCAATTTAACCATCTAAGGTCTCTCATTCTCATCCACTTGATTGATGTAACTGCTAACTCCTGTAGAGACGACAAATCCTAAAATCATAACTTTGTAAATTTATTATTCTCAATGGTAATGTTCAAAGATCAATTACGAACACTTGCTTTCTTTGCTTGATGGCACTGTCTACATTGACTTTAGCGGGTCCACAAGGACGACTAGATCGGTCGACATTATTTTAACTCGTATTAACGGAGATGCTCTTCTAACTTCATTATCTAAAAGTTGGAATTCAACTTTCATTCATTTGGAACATGAATATCCACAATTGTGGACCTTAGATTTATTCCACGCAAGAAAACTTCTTACATATAATTATTTTGATATGGCGGGTATCATGGCTTATGATAATAATATTCGAGCTAGCTTACATATGTTTGACTCAAACGATGTTAAGACCTTCTTGAACAAATCAATCGAAGATGGAGGGATAAATCGTAGCTGAAAATAATGATCTCTAGAATAATAATAGGTAAAAAGAAGAGAATTGCAGAGTTTTTTTTCATTCCAAATTGGCAAGTTTTTTTTGACCCCCTTATATACTAGAGAGGAAACCTTCCCAAATTGTAAGAAACACAAAATACAAGGCATATTCTTAATGTTCCCTAATGTGTTTACACTTCTACAAGGGTCGTACGGTTTCTCCTTTCGCCTTGGGGTCGTCTTCCCTGGGACGTCGGTTCGGAGTTACCCGGTCATTTGTCGTACTCGTTATAGGTCGTGGTCGGTCAAATTTGGACTCATACAGTTAGTCCCTCCGCTTGTCGAGCTCGCGATCGGATGCATCCTCGATGAGCGGACTTCATGCATTCTCCCGGAGAAATTTGACCAATGGGAACGTTATGACGTGGCCAGTGGGAGATGGTCGTCGTGCTCAGCAAAATGTCGTGTGGTACGATTCTCCGGGAAGTGATGCCAGCCTTACGTGCGTCATTATTATGCAGGTTTTCGAGGCGGGGACTGACGGCTCGGTGCTTCGATTCTTGCGCTGTTTCGAAGCCTGTCGCCTCGATTCTGGCACCTCCCAATCCTATAAATAGGTGGGGGATTTGATTTTTTGAAAAACTTTAGCCATCCCTCTCGAAGACCTCTCTCACTCTTTCTCTCTTGCTCTCATATCCTTATGTTCTTCTTTCGTTCCTCACCTGAAGCTTCTTCTCCCTTCCTCTTTTTGTGTTGATACACTTTTAAACGATATTATGCCGAGGTCTCGTCGTTCTCGCGAAGAGGTTCCTGAAGCCACCCCGTCATCCACGGTGCCTCCTTCTGACAGCGGAGATGTGGTGGTAGAAGAGAGTGACAGCCCTCCTACGGTGGAGGAGCTACTACCGAGGCACCCCCCATCTCGGAGCGACTTCCTCAAAGATCTACCTCCTACCCCGAACCCCGTATTTTTTGAGATGGAGCAGGTCCATATTGATGCCCTTCGTATAAAGTATGGCATTCCTGCTCATATAGAAATGATTCCAGCGGGGAGAGATTATATAGACGTCCATAGACCTGGATACTGTGCTTTCTATGAGTGTCCTTTTATGATCGTCTATACCCTTCCTCTCTTCCTCTTAGCGGAAGAATTCTGCAAATTTTACCAAGTTTGCCCAGCACAACTTTCACCATACATGCTCAAGGTGTTTCTTCTATTGACTAAGTATGCAGAGTTGGCGGAGTGTAGCGTTTCTGTCCACCACCTTTTGCACCCGTTCACGTCTGGCTTCCTCAGGGGTACCATGGTGCATTTGAGGCTTCGTGGTACGAAAAGGCTGGTGGTTGGAACGGACGACCGGGCGAGCCGCAAATTCTGGCACAAGTACTTCTTTGTCAAGACCGAGCACGTCGTTTCTGACTCCGCCATGTGAGCACCTAATTTTTGACCACTCTTAGATTTTTCTCAACTCCCTCACATCGTTTAGCACATATCTTACCACCAACACAATTATCCCCTCACATACTTTACATTATCCATACACTCATTTTCCACTCACAAAAGTATTCCCTACCCCACTCTTCTTTATTCCCCACTCCTTATCCCCTTGTCCCCCATGCTTTGTCCCACTCACTTTAACCCTTTTCTCCGACTCACCCACGAGACACTCACAATACATACCTCACAATTTCCCTTACCTTCCCATTCATTTTCTTCACAACTCACTCTTACACTTTCTCTTATTATATAAAAACACACATACACGGATGGAAAAAAAAGGAGGGAAGGAGCAAGGCAGACAGGACACTCGTCCATTTCTATCTTATCTTCGTCCACCTTCTAATACAACAAAATCGCCCCCCTCCCCCCACAAATCAGCTTAAAGCCAGAAAAAGGCCAGCAAATATACCAGTCCGAAAACCATCAAAAACACCTTGAACCAGTCCCATTTTTCACATGAAACAACAACAAAAACTAACTCGTTTTGAGTCGAGATTGTTGAGGCCACTGTTCGAGTTTACCGGAAGTAGATTTTAGCTTCTGTTTTTGTTTTCGGCCCAGTTTGCCAATGTCAGATTTGTTTGTACAAAGTTATTGAAAGCTTAAGAAAGGTCTATTTTATCCACCCTAGTTTGTTTTAAATACTTTGCTTGCGTGTGTCTAGTATGGCATACGTATTTTGTGAGAATGAAATTTTCTCTTATGGCTGATTGTTTGGTTTATTTGATTGATAAGCTTTTCTTAGTTTAATAAATAAAATTGATAGAACATAATATTTAAGTGTTAGTTTCTTAATGAAGAATTTATGTTCACTTTCTTTATTAAAAACTTTGACATGGCAGAATTGGTATGGATTTAAATTATTAATATTTAGCAAAGTCTTGGAAATAATTGGATCGTATCCTACTGTTTGTATGCTTAGGTTACTCATATCTTATATTAGTATGTTGTCTAGTTTTGTCTACTTTATTAGTTAATTATTTGATTTTATTATAAGTCCTTGATTGATAGTGATAGCCAGTAGAAGAAATCAAAAGGGGCCATAGATTGTGATAAGTAAAATTAGCAAGCTGACCCATATTAAATAGTGTAGCCTTTTAAGATAAATAATTTAAGTATTAAAATTACACGCGTTAGTTTATTTTTAGACATATCTCCACAGATTCATTCCAAGCCTTACAATAATCTTAATTTAGTTTTAGAAAAATAATTCAAGTGCGCTTTAAATAATTAAATATCATGGCTATGTATATGGTCTCATGGCATAATTGTGATATGTAACAAAATAATATTCGTGAGCGTGACTTATTTCAAGATAATTTTTCATAATTTTAATCAAGCAATAAAAGCGGATATAGGTAAAAGATGAGAACCAATAAAACACAAGTTATCCAAAAATAATATAAGCCACATATTGTCAATAAAGCGACCATGCTAGAACCACGGGACTCGGGGAATGCCTTACACCTTCTTCCCGATCAACAGAATTCCTTTCTCAAACTTTGTTTTCGCAGACCAATAATAATAGAGTCAAACCTTCGTTTGAATAAGGATTCAAATAAAAGGTGACTTAGAACACCGGCAAAAATCAATTCCAAGTGGCGACTCTGTAAATAAAATAATCCTTATTTCAAATTTGTCACTTTAATTAGAAAAGCTCTTTAACCCGCAATCCATAACAACACATTATCTTTTGGAGGGGTAAAAAGGGGTGTGATAGCTCTGACAACTCTACTGGGGATCTAACCAGAATTTGAGCTTGTACATGTTGACTTTTATTTGGCTTTATTAATTTTGTATATATTGGGATTTATTTGTGCCTAATGTACTCCCTGTTCGCTTTTTACTGCTTCGATATTGTTGAACTGTACATATAAACTATTTTCTCACGCACCCTCTCTGAGTCTTCTTGAAATTAAAAATTGGACATTTGCTTGACATAGCCCGTTTTCTTTGAGATAGCCGAGGTGCTTGTCACCCGGTGAAGGATTTTAGTCACACATGTTTTAGGCGGGGAGCACCATCAGTTAAGCCGAAAAGCAATGCTACCGGTACACTAACCCTCCTCGACTCGAGTTGTCCGCTCGAGTAAGCCAGTCTAGATACCTTCTCCACCAGGATTTAAACCTAGAAGAACAAATCTCATGCCGGATATTCCTAGTAGGTTCGCTTTATGTGCATCACGTGCATTTGACTTAGCGAAACTCGGCACAAGGGTCGGGCCCGTATATGACAGGTATCATCTTTGAGACTATCATGTTCACTTATGTGCTACTTGATACATCATTCGGAAGGCTTACTTGCATTGTTGACCGGCTTAAAAAATTAGTATAATTATTAAAAAAATGTAGTGGTCTAGCGCGAGGTGTAAAGATTAATTTTCATAAAAATCAAAAGAGAAAAGTACCCAGTTTGACCAAACTATGCGGGTCTGATTCTCACCGGATGTGAGATACGTAGGCAAACCTCATCGGTTCCGGCCCCAATTTTCAAAAATTCAAAAATATTGTCCTTCACTTACTTTTTTAGAAAAGTTTTTCTTTGAGACCCCAATTTTCAAAAATCCAAAAATATTTTCCTTTAGAAATCTTTCCTTAG